GAAGGCCGCTCCAGTATACCAACCACGATGCAATGTGCCTTCCAGCACTAAAACAAAGATCACTTTCCTATTATAATACAGACCAAGAGCAACACAGTGCCTAGAAATCCCAGTGTCATTTCTCCATCTTCAGGTATGAGTTTGGTAGGTTCCCCAGCACGATCAAAGAATCTATCAGGCAAACCAATGCTTTTCTTCCCTTGTTCTCTTCCATTAAAGAATATGCCTCACCCTGCAAGAGCTAAGCTTTACCCAGGCTCCACAATGGCTAAGAAAGCCTCAGAAAAGGAAGCGCAGTGGCCACACTGCCACCCAATCTAAGGGCTGGCATGATACAGCAAGGGAGGAAAAAGCAAAGTGGTTCTCACAAGGTTCGTAGTGGTCCAATGGAAATTCCAAAGAAGAAAATCTCACTTCCAGCTGAGAGGTGAAGGAAATGGTGTCAGAGAGGATGGGCAATATGTGCAATAAATATTTACTGAGAGCCTATTACATGCTCTTAACACTGAATACAGCACTGAAAAAGAGCATGACCTTGTAGTTTGCAATGGATCCTTTGCTATGACACCAAAATAAAAACAAATGCATTGGATTTCATCAGAAGTAAAAACTTTTGTTCATCAAAAGAAATTATCAAGAAAGTAAAAAGACAACCTACTGAATGAGAGAAAATATTTGCTAACTGTATATCTCATGAGGTGGTAATACTCAGAATATACAAAGAACTTTTACAATTCAACAACAAAAGATAAATAATACAATTAAAATTAGCAATATGTGGACTATACATATATAGAATAGAATATTCTTCAGCCATAAAAAGGAATGAAATTCTGATATATGCTATAACATGGATGAACCTTGAAAACATTATGCTATATGAAAGAAGACATATACGAAAGGACAAATATTATGATTCCACTTATATGAATTATCTAGCATAAGCAAATTTAAAGAGACAGAAAGTGGATTAGAGGTTACCAGCATCTGGGGAGAGGAAAGAATGGGAAGTTATTGCTTAGTGCATACATAGTTTCTGTTGAGGGTAATGAAAAAGTTTTGAAAATAGTGGTGATGGCTGCACTACATTGTGAATTTGTAATTAATGCTATCAAACTGTACACTTAGAAATGATTAAAATGGCAATATTTATGACATATATTTTTATCATAATTTTTTTTAAATTTTCTAATCTAAACATTGTTCTTAAGTCATTTTTGGTATATGCTAAAAATCCAGAGAAAACTACAATAATAACATAATACATTTGAGGACTTCTATTTTTTTCGTCTGCGTTATCACATATTTTATTTTCTTAACCATAAAGTAATTTTTTAAAAAACTCAGTATTCCTAATTAAGCACAAAGTATTTTTATGGTGTAGAAAAATTACTATACCTAAAATAAAAGGTACTCTTATCATTCCTGGGGGAAAAGGGCCACCTCAAAACAATATACTCAAAAATGCTGACATTTAAAAACTTACCTCAAATTTAAACCATTCTGAGTTCCACTGAGGGTTGAGTGACTTGAGGTACACATCTGTTTTAAAGGTGGTATTGCCAAATTTTACCTATAACAAA